ATTGGCTATATTTTGATTACATTAAANGGCCTCTTTTGTCAGGATGCGACATGACAGCCTTTTGGCACACAACTCTTGGCTTTGGGATGTTAACCGTGGGAACAGCTATATTTCATTGGCTATATTTTGATTACATTAAACAAATTTGGCGACTTAAATTAAATAGTTCCAGTGGCCACAAATATTCCGTATCCAGTGAAGCTCAAAATTGAATCGATGGAAGAGTACTCTGAAGCTATGATCTATAAGAAAAAACCAGAACTAAGGAACAGCAATGTAAATGCTGACTATTTCTATTCATCAGCGGAAATATTCGAATCAGTTGCCAGTTGCACAGAGTTTATTTACGATAAACCACGGATAAACCGGCACGCGAGTGCAAATGCTAGCTGATATTTGTGCTTCCAGCTTAGAATACTAGATGTAACACAAGTGTAAAAATGAGATTTTAGCATGATTTTTTTAACTTGTGACTTGTCGAAACTGGAGCCGTCACGCAACGTGTCAAAAATAACGCAACGAAATCAAAATTCAGTCGAACCTCTATCAAGCGGTCCCCTATTAAGCGGCCAACTTTTATTTGGCAGCCAACGGCCAAAATCCCGGAAAAATTGTCAGCCATACACTGTAATAAAAACCTCTATTAACGGCCACCTCTATTAAGCAGCCGCGGTCAGCTTCTTGCCGTCCCAAGGGTGATTTTGTATTGTTTTACCTCTATTAAGCGGCCAGTTGCCTTGTCCCCCAGAGTGGCTGCTTAATAGAGGTTTGACTGTAATCTACAGAAAAATAGTGGACTTTGTTATTATGTTACATCTCTCTGTAAAACGTCAGCTGTTCACAAAGATAATGATTTCAGCAACAGACAGCTATTTAAGTCATATCACAGGCGTAGAAAACGAACGCACTCATAGTCTTTGATTACTACTAGTTTTTAGGTCATATTTCTGGAACGGATCATCATTCCTCGAAATCTCTTAGGGGCACGGTATATCGGCTTCTTGACGATCGATTCTAAAGGCATGTGGTCAGTATGGACAATGGTCTTTCGACCGAACGTGTAATCATTGAACTTCTCCACTGAGAAAACAATTGCTAACATCTCCTTCTCAATTTGCACGTAACAGGACTCAGTTTCTATCAAGGCTCTACTTTCGTAGGCAATGGGGTGCCCATTTTGTATTATAGCTGCTCCAAGACCACTCTGAATGCAATCACACTGGATTTCAAGAACTTCCGTGCACTTGTAATACGCCAAAACAGGTGCAGACAATATGAGATTCTTGACATCATTCCAAGCTTTCTCTTGCGGGTCATCCCAGCGTCATACTGTGTCTTTGTGGGTAAGACCTCGGGGAGGCCTCATGACATCAGACAGATGAGGGAGAAAGTGACTTTGGTAGTTTACCATTCCATTAAGCTTCATTGTGTCGTCTCGTGGCGCGGCATCTTTACTACAGCATTCGCTTTCTCGGGATCTGGCTTTAAACCCTCCGTGGTAAGCAGATGTCCATGGAATGGAAGTTCTTAAGTTTTTAACTCTAGCCTCATACTGTTAAGCTTGATGCCTTTCTGCTGACATCTGCTCAGAAACCCCTCCAAACTGCTGTCATGATCAGCCTCACTTGTGCCATGTATCAGGACATCATCTGCAAACCACTTTACACCGGAAAGACCACCTAATTCTTGAAGGAGATGTTTGAAATATCTCACTGGAAACGCTGAGACCAAAAGGTAAACAAAGCCAACGATATCACCCATATGGCGTAGCGAGGTTTGTGAGCATGCTAGATCGATAATCCAGCTCCAGATGGCGCTGACGCTCCAGATGCCAAAGTGCAATCGACTTTAGTGAACACACGTGCATCTGTCAGGTCAGGCAAAAAATCATCGACAACTGGAATTTGGTAATGTTTTCTCTTCAAAGCAACATAAAGAGGTCTGGGATCGATGCAAACACCCAGCTCACCAGAATCCTTAACAGGTACCACAATCTGACTGACCCATCTGGCGGTCGGTCATTGGGAGTAATAACCTTGAGACTTTCCAGCCTATGTAATATCCCTCTTACAACTTCTCCCACATGGACACAGGTATTTTCCATACTGGGTGGAAAACAAGCTTTGAGTCAGGATCAACTTGGAGATGTACTTTCCCAGAAAGTGTTCCAAGACTCTTGTTGGACACAGCTGGGTACTTATCTATCAGGTCACTGTTCACATCCTCCACAACAATGACGAAATCTTTTTAGGAATAGTCAACAGCTTCTTCTTCACCGTCTCATTTTAACCAAGTCATGGTATCAGGCTCTTATTAAGATAAAAAATCTGATCTTAAACTTTTCATTGTTCCTGGGCTTCACGACCTTTAAAGCACAGGTAAGGCTTCACTTTGGTACCATCTCACATCACTCATGTTTGCGAACATGGAGCGAGCCCCTCGCCTTCGGTTTATTTGATTGATAAGATATTCGCACTCGCACCACAGTTAGTTTCGAATCGGACCAGTTGTTGTTTAACTACCATCTTCACAAAAACAGCCCTTCCTTTTACAGCATATATCCTCACGACACTGATCTCTTCAAGCTCTTCTTCGCTTTCAATATTTTAAACTGTTGTTCTCCTAGAACATTTTTTGTTTCGTTTCCTCAGAAACGAAACGGTATTGTTTTCAGTTAAGGGGTGAACTATTTACACAGTGATTTGTAATATCCAATCAGAGTAAAGTTCGTAATTGTTAATGTAAATACGGGGGCAAAATTTCAACCAAAACTCGGTGCATCGCAACAAAATGTGTCATTTGCAACGTTTCAGAACTCTCGTTTCTCGGTATTATCTCACACAAGAAAACTGCGAACTGGACTTGATAGTGATAGTGTAAAAGAAATATATTTTCGAAGTAGAGACACCGCCCCACCACGCGATTTGTCCACCAATGCGATATTTTAAGCCGATGGAAGCAGATAGTTTTGTTTAGTTCAACAAAGAAATGGTACTGTTTTCCGTTTCAGAGTGAGTATGAATGTTATCAGGGTAAACGCTTGTAATTCACAAGGTAAACATTTTCAGGAAAAATAACTTCTCGAAACTAAATTTTATTTCCTGACACGGAAAGAAGAGGAAATTAAAATATCATGCAGGTAGAAATAATTGGCGACTTAAATGTTCCTAAGTCTTACTGAAACGATGTATTCTAGAGAAACGAAGGNTTGAACCGCCAGTAACATAAAAATGAAGACAAATCAGATCAAAAGCACTAAACTGGGGATTTATTTAAGCCACCAGTTCAATTCTGAGAGCAATTTGCAATTAAAAATAAACCCCCTCTTCCACTAACTGCGTCCATTGCAATTGTACTGCAAAATGTATCTTCCATCTACTCCGACTGTTCTCGGCAACAAACACATTCTCTTTGCGTCGGTATGGTTGCACATCTCTCACAAGTACACCACAGAGCATTTTCCAACCGATCAATCAATTCAACTTGATTATTATCTCCCGCGGAATCACTAGCGCGTTCTGGCCTCAAGAGCAGCCATACTAAAGCTCAAAAGAACAAACACACTCTCGGACGGAATGACGTCATGAATATGCTGCCTGGCCTTCAAGATCTTTTCAAAATGGTGGCTCCCAGTGTCGAACTTTTTACTTCTTTTTCATTGGGATCGCATCCACTACAGAAGCTGAAACAACGGTGAGTAACTCAACTCAATGTGATCTTTTTATTGATGATGGAAAAAAATACACAGCTTGGAGTGACCTCCTTTAAGCACCCCCTACAATCTAAAGCCTTTCGATGTGGAGGAGAAAAAGGGGACAATGGTCACAGCAAGTAATGGTTCACAAACTGTCACCAGAAACTCTTCCCACTTCAAAGTTATTCCAAAGGACTTTGCACAGAGCCAAGAGAATGGTGTAAAGAAAGATGACAAAAAGACCCCAGGAATACAGCAAAACCCATCTGAGACCAAAGAAGAGAGTCTGTCGAGACGATCCAAAAGACAAGTCAAACCTCGTATTAGATTTTCTGACTATGTACAAGTCATCTATGGCAAATGGGCTGAAGCAAGGAACTTTTCTGATACATTTATTTCATCTAAAGAAAGTTGACATTTACAAGACTATTTTTCTCAGATCTCAGTTGAACAGTTGAACTTTGATTATCGAACAGTGAGCATTGTCGTTGTTACTTAGAATGTTTATTTTTTAAAGGTAGAGTTACTCACAAACTGTTACTCATTATGTATGTGTTTATTCATATCTTGTTTTTCATCCCAAGAAGAGGAGGGATGTAATGTCGTTAATATTCATGAGTGAACACATGTTTAGGTCACGTGATCAGTCAGTGAAATTACAGAGTGAAGTTTTCCATATATACAAGCATGGCGTTGTGTTTCCTTTACCCGCACTCGGTCTTAATACCACACAGATGAAGACGTAAATAATGCCAGTGGTCATAGGTGCATTAGGAGTGATTAAGAAAGGTTCAGAGAAATTCATCAGTGAAATACCAGCAAACATTAACCTCCACAAAATTCAAAAACGGCACTGTTGGGAATAAGGCATATTCTCCAGAGGGTGTATAGCCATTAAGTAATACCAAGGACAGAGCCCTTAAGCGTCCTAGGTTCATGGGTTGGTGGTTTGGATCCAGCCCTTGTGGAAGAAATACCCATAATGAACTGAACAATGAACAATGCTTGTAATTATGATAAAAACTTGATGGTTAAAAATAGTGCTAATTTAGATAAGTATGTTGCAAGCTAAAATATTGTATAGAACTAGGGTTAAAAATGGCTAAAAATAAATATTTTAAGTTTCTTGTTAAAAATAGTATAATTTCAGACTGTTCAATTGGTTAGCTTCAACTCTAAGGTGGGGATTTTAAAAAAGTACCTCTTGGTTCCTTTGGAAGACCTATATTTATTCGTACAATAGATTGCTGACAATCGAGGTAAGAAGTAAAGAAGAAAGTTGCCTTACTGACATTGCTATTTACAGGTAATGCAAATGATCAATGATTTGCGGGAAAGCTTTATTGCCAACCTAGATAACCTGGACTGGATGGACACTAGAACAAAGAAATATGCAAAGGAAAAGGTACTTCCTTCTAAGATGTATTCATCAATTATTGTGAGCCTTTTGCTTTATGGCCTTTTGTTGTAAGCTAAATCGATACCACTACCTTATCTACATTTTCTGAAACAAAATATTTAAAATTTATTTAAAGCGCACGTGAGTTATCCACAGACAAAAAAATATATTTTAAAATTTATTAGCAGCTGGACCTGCAGGGTAACGAAAGAAGTGACGCCAGCTGTTTATATCTGTAGTAAATCTGCATGCAGTTATTTGTAAGATATGTAGTGTTTTATACACTAAATATAATTATTATGTACAGTCATTCAGTACCATGTCAAAATGATACGATTCCCCAAAACCTTAACACTGAATTCTTAAGAAACAAGACGCATGTCTGCGTGAACTCGGGCTTTTTTAGAGCAACATGACACTTTCATGTCGTTACCGCCTCATTCCCTATGAACTAGGATGGATGCGTGACATTATGGTGTTGGCGATTGCGTTACAGTTCTAGCCGTTTATAAGACAATGTAGGAGAATGCTTCGAAAATTGCTCTAAATGATACGTGTAGAAAGGACCGCCTGTGATGTCAACTGTGTTAAATTGGTACTCACTTAGTTCTTTTCTCAGGAATTCTGTAGTAACTGAATAAAACTCCAAAAAAATATATTTGAACCAAGCGAATAACTCCTAAACAAACAAACTGCGGAGGTCGCCGTAAATTAAATATGCAGAAATCCAACGTGTAAAATACTGTTCGCTTTTAAAACCTAAAATTTTCAAATAAAAGCAACCAAATGAAAGAAACGTGACGGGAAATGATTCACGATGATGCAAAAAATCTTATCTAAAAGCAAAAAAATGTTCACAATTTCGCAGACGAGCTTCTGAGCATGACAGCGTGTTCAAATTAATTCCTCACGCTAGTCTATTATGCCTAGGACTTTTGCAGGCATTTTATCGGCCGTGGGTTACCAATCGTTAAAGTGGAATTCAACTTCGAAGTAATACTGTACATGACCATTTCTGTTTTCTAAAGTCCAGGAAGCTGCGTTGAATCCGCGTATTCAAAACTTAAGCTTACTTGAAAACGCTGCGATCGTTGTGTTTTCGCGGCAGTTAAAGGGAAGAAATTCTTCACCAGAAAGGTTTGAGCATTCTGTACATCTTGATCTTCCATTCTGGGGCCACCTAAACATTTAATTGTGTTTTTCCTTTCCATTTCAAGTCCCGAAGAAGTAATTAAATGAAGATTAGAGAGTCATTCTCGTCCCCACAAGCCGCGCTTCTTTTGGTCAGCAGCATAACGTCGCGCGTGCGTGTTAAGGACTTGACTGCGATTTGCGACTGAACGAAAAAAATTTCAACTCGGGCGTTTCCTTTGGAAAGCCCGGGTGAAAATCTTAAAGCTTTTTTTAACATTTTTTGTTCCATGTGTTTGTCGTTTTTATAATTTATGAAAGTATTCTCTATATTTAAACATTTTTAGACAGAACTTTTACACACTCTTATCCCACCATCATCCATTCTTCTCACACCTCAGGCGGCCCAGACGTTGTATACGATTAATACGTGACATTATGCATTATCTTGATGTCTCTGGGTTCCTGGAGGTGGTTGAGAGTCATTTTGGCGAGTTTTTCTTTCTGGCGGTTTGGTTCCCCTAAGAGAATACTCTTTAGGGGAAGCAAACCGCCAGAAAGTGAAACTCGCTTAAATGGCTCCAAACCACCTCTAGGAACCTAGAGACATCAAAATAACGCAATGCAAACATAAGGTAAACCATTTTATTCAAATTGTTTTCTCCACGCAGCATTTGGAGTAATTTTCGAAGTATTCTCATACATCGTCTTATAAACGGCTAAAATTGTCACACAATCGCCAACAGCGTAATGTCACGTATTAATCGCATACATCGTCTGGGCCGCCTGTGCTCACACCATTATTCATTCCCATCCATTTAAGACAACAGTCATGCTGTAAAAAGCTCATAGTTTCATAATCCCATATTTTATTCAGTGTAATGCAGTTTTATTTGTATATCTAAATAGTTCTGTTTGTACCTGTATACTATATGAATGCGTATTTGTTTGTTTGTGTAAGAATGTATACCTATATCCACTTTTACGGAATATAATTATGCATTTTACATGAAAGTTTCTCTGAGTGATGAAGTACATGTAATAAGTTTTTGATTTAACGTGATTTTATAACTAACAGGCTGCTGCAATCAGACAAAACATTGGATATCCTGAATATATGAAAGATCCAAGCAGGCTGAGAGACCGATTCAAGAATGTAAGTGTTTTGAAAACATCAGATAACAATAGTGTATGGTTTACAACTAAATGTGACTCTCTACAGACTATTGATATCAATATAACTATAACACTAATTCCGCTTTACATTGTATGTATAGTGCAATTACTACATTCAAAGTGAAATGATATCAGAACTGTCTTTGATATGAAGTTGGGCACTTGCTTTCAGTTATGCCGCAAATCTCAGAGAAACAAGAAAACAACCCGCCCACTAAAAATTATGAAGATAAGGGGACTCTGTCAGTTCTGTGTTGGAACTTTAGTTTTATTGAAAGATTGTGAAGACTGTTGCTAAGATGTTACCTCATAGCTGTTTAATTATCATCTTAGGTTGATCCCATGTTAGAGTTTTTAGCTGTAGCGGTTTTCGCTTATGCATATCGTCTATTAACTCGTTGTACTTTTCGAGGAACTTGTCCAAGCCAGTATCTTTTAGTCGAAAAACTCCTTTGCCTACAGTTTTTTTGGGTGGGGGAGGAGGGTCACTGCTGAATAGGCCACTTTCGATATATTAAAATTCAGCTTGACAGTGAGGCCTAGAGGACACAAACAAAAGAAATGAATAAACATGGTCGTTCCATTTCTTTTGTTTGTGTCCTCTAAGCCTCACTGCCAAGCTGAATTTTAATATATCGAAAACGGTCTATTAAGAGAAAAGCATGCTGACCGAAGGCACGTGCCAGACTAGACCACAAAAAAGGAGGTGGCTCCAGTTCATCTAGATTCACCTCGATAACTGAAGTAAAAAAATATACTTTCTACCTGTCCATATCTTCACCATATTCTATCACTTTGGACGTTTTCCCTACCAAGATTTTATTCCCACCAGGATTCTTGCTGGGATCCATGACAATAATTGTGTTATCCAAGTCAAGAGCAGATCCTCTGATAAATTCTTGCCAGGATCTGTGGCGGGAATTTTTCTTGGGTGGTTTTCAAGGGAGCTGAAGTGCCACTTAAGTGGTACCCCAGCAGGAAACAGGAGAGGCACATGTACTCTGATAGAATCCCAGTCACAATTTTACATTTTGCTCAGCAAAATCACTTCCATTTTTCACACAATGTCAAATGCAGGACATCTGCATTCAGGTTCAACTTGGTAAAAGTAAGACAGGTTGCAGTGTAGGTGTGCAGTGTGTTTTCATGTGATCTATGTTGATCAAACACCCTTGCATTCTTGTTTAGGGTCCTTAGTGACTTTCTAGCTTTATGTTCAAAGGCAGGATGAACTGTACATACATTGTAGCCTTAAAAGTGCCTCCTTATTTTGAAGCTTTTTCAAAATACAGAAGAGCGGCGTTTTGCTTTTTGGAATATCTTTTCTTGTTTTAGAGATACTGACATTTTTGTATTATGTAAATTAGGAAAGTGATGACTCCATAAGTTGTGCAACTAAAATCATAAATTGTAAAATACTGAATCATGAATATCTCTAGAAATATTGTAGCAGTGTTTTTCAAACTTGGTACCAGAAGTGGCTCCAGTCTCTTTCTGTGAAAAACCAAATATCCTCATTTGCAACCTTTAAAGTGAGACCTGCTCGGAACAGACATGGTTACCATATTGGCTAAACTCTCCTAGTAAACTTGGAATTTCAGTTTTAATTAAGAAATAACCAGTGGCAAAACTGTTGTCATTGCAACAGCACAAAAATGGTCATTTTGTTTGTTTTGTGATGTACACTCTTGGTGTTAAGTTTGAAGAACAGTACCGTTCCAATATTTCCAGGGATATTATTTATTCAGTATTTTAGCGTTTTAATTGCACAACTTATGACATCATCACTTTCCTAATTTACATAATATAAAGATATTCTTAAAAGGAAAATGCCATTCTTCTGGATTTTGAAAAGCCTTTCATTTCATAGGCACTTAAAAAACTATTATTTATCAAAACATTGAGGAGTGCTGTACCATGCATATACTCATATGTTGCACATTGGTCAGCTATGATTGCTGTGCTTGATGGATTTTGATCCTTGCCATTTCTTTGGAAAGTTTTGCCTTCAACAGTCTATTGGCATGCTGACCTCCTATTGTACTTTTTGATCATACTGCCATGGTTAAGTTGTATCTGCATTGCTCTATAACCCTCTTTGTGTATCAGTGCAAGTCTCAATGTTAAGACCTTAAATCATCCTAATCGCAAATAGTTGCCAGTCCTGCAGTATGCTCTGAAAAGGCAGAGGCCTGGCCATGGCTAGGGTTTGAAATCTCTTGGTCTTCCTTCTTGATCTTTTGGTGCACACTGGTCTTCTAATTTCGTGATGGAACAACTGATGTTTAATTATGTAGACCACACCATCTTGTTTGGTTAGGTTAACAGCTTCCCCTGGTGACACCAAGTGTAACCTAAGTGTGGTATTGCACTTCAGAATGATGAGTGTACCTTGCTTTTCAGAAGCGATGAAACATCTCCACTCTGTAAGGCAAAACTGTACGGAATTTTAGCTCTGGAATAGTGCAAGTTTCAAATTTCTGTTTGTCATAGCTTATCAACAAATGCTATCTTTTCAGTGGTACTTGCTTGTTTACCATGTTTTCTGTGTTTTATCACATGCCACTTGTAGACTTATAATATACTTGTGTATCGAGTCTGTAGACTATAATAATAACAATAACAATAACAATAATAATAGTAATAGTAATGGCATTAGCCTTAGCATTAGCATTAGCAATAGCATCAGCATTAGTAATAGCAATAGCAATCGTAATAGTAATAATAATAATGATAACAATAATGATGATGATGATGATAATAATAATGATGATACTTTCGCTGTTTCTGTGGCATTTTAAACAAGTCATTCCAGTTCAAAGGTTTTCCAAATTTTATTCATTTCTTTTAACTACCTTTTGCCTCCTTTTTTAACGATTTTAATACAATTGTTATTGTAAATAGTTTTGTGCTGTAATAGTGATAGTAATAGTAACAGTAACAGTGACAGTAATAGTGACAGTGACTGTGACAGTGACAGTGACAGTGACAGTAACAGAAACAGTGACAATAACAGAAACAGTAACTGTAACAGTAATAGTATAAATAGTAACAGAAACAGTAACAGTAACTGTAACAGTAACAGTAACAGTAAAGGTAACAGTAACAGTAACTGTAACAGTAACGGCAACAGTAACGGTAACAGTAACAGTAACGGTAACGGTAACAGTAAGAGTAACAGTAACTGACAGTAACTAACAGTAACAGTAATAGTAACAGAAACAATAGCAGTGAAAGTAACAGTAACAGTAACAGAAACAGTAGCAGTAGCAGTAACAGTAACAGTAACAGTAACAGTAACAGTAACAGTAACAGTAACAGTAACAGTAACAGTAACAGTAACAGTAACAGTAACAGTAACAATAACAGGAAGCAAAATGTAGTTCACAGAAATGAATAAAATTGAGAAAGCCTGAGAATTGGAATGACTTAATGACTTAAGGGCATCACCTTAGCCTCTTTCCATGCTGTCGGAAATGTGCCACTAGCAATACAGATGTTTTTGAGTTTGGCGAGTGATGGCGCTATTGCTAGAGCTGCTATCTTAAATATGCGGGCGCTCACGCCGTCCACACCAGTCGCTCTACCTGACGGGATTGCCTCAGTCAGTTTTTTGGTCTCATTTGGCGTGATAGTAGGAAAGGCATACTTGATATCTGATACCTTGCGTTTGCTGACAAAAGATTTTAGGGTTGTTGGATTAAACTCGGCAGCAGTTTTGCCTGCCAGCTAAGCTCGTGAAGTGTTTATTAAACACCTCAGCAATTGAGGCATCATCCTGGATTCGCGTGGTCTGTTCATCGAGACTTTTTTAAAACAGCTGTACCATGTTTGCCAATTCGGCTGACTCGTAGTAGGGGCAAATTACATCATGTGTGCGTGTACCAGTCACATTTATAGAATCGATGGCATTGTGTATGATTTCTGCAAAGTTGCAATTTCGGCCTGTTATTTCGAACAGCTCGCCCTTTACAATAGGTAATTGAGCGTGCGTCATAAGGAAGGAATCTTTTGTAGCTTGGCAGCGGCAAATGTCCATGATTTGTGTGTCAGAAAACAAAGTTTGGGTGTTGTTTACCTTGGTAAATGGTCGTGTCACAGGGTTCGAAATTATCGTTTTTTGTTAAAGGTCATTGAGGACCCAACTGGCAACTAATCCCAATATTTTGGCCGCCAGATGGTAATTTTTGGTCGCCTTTTTTCACTGATTTATTATCTTCTTTATTAGTTACACAATCTTCGACATCATTCTAAGTTTACGTACAAAGAACTTATCCGATGGTAAAATTTTGCATGAAGGACATATAAAAATAACATCGTGTTAATAATAATTAATGCGAAAGCAGCTTCAGTCATGTTTTTCATGTCCCTCTTCATCCTCATCTAGTTTCATGTCTATGTATTTTTTCGCGCTAAGATGAGGCTTCGTGTGGTGCAATTGACAGACATATTGTAATCAGGCCCCTGCTCTGCCACATTGTTGGTAGTTCTACCAGTCTGCGTGCACGCGTTATTTAGATATGCCTGGAGTACCTCTTAATGAAGTTTCCACTGAACCAAACATGGTAATCCAGCCAGCGATTGGAGAATCGTGTATTTGTTTTCTTATATCTATTGGAGAAAGTGCATCTTTCATCCACAAATAAGGTCAGTTTTCCTTTGAGGTTAAAAGGTTGACGGAAGAAAAGGTGAGTTGCCCACAGGCGACCAGTTAACAACATTCGATTTTTAGTCGCATTGGCGACCAGTGGATCGCAATTTTGAGCTCTATGATGTGTGTTCAGAAAACAATTTCTGAGTTGTAGCTTGGCAAATAGCCATGATTTGTTGTCAGAAAACAAACGTTCCTAGTTGATTATGCAGCTCGCCAAAAGGCCATAATTTGTGGACAAAATGGGTCATTCATTACAAATTTAACCCTTTTCAATGGTGAAAGCAAGATGTAAAAATAATCAAGCAATTGAAACAAATACAAACACAAGGTAGGTTTAAAAACATAAATATTGACGGTGTATTGTCTTGCAGGGTCGGCTGTTCAAAATGTTATTTTCTCGAGAAATCTTTATCTCAAATGCATGTTGGCGATCTGAATTTTATTTAGAAAAATGTTAACAATGCCTTATGACTGGAAATTATTTTGTCCAGTACAAATCAATACTTTATTAAAGACACTTTGTCGGGTTGCCGCCACAGGTTATAATTTGTTCACCACCACTTCAACTTCATGTGCAGATCGTTATCTATCATTCACTTTGTTTGCTATCGCACAACACCAGAGTTGACTGAGCAAAATCAGGGTGTGAATGCACTGCTCTAATTTTTCATTACATGTATTAATAGTCTTATTTATTATTGCTTTTTCTTCTTATTTCTTATTGATTATTTTGAGGGTCATGAGGTTATCAGTGTAACTACCGTCAAATGACGTCCTCGATAAATAACATCTTACTTATTGTTAACTATGCATTGCCGTGGAAAGAGAAACCTAAAAATACCATGTCATTAATTAGGTATCAGTGAAGATTGTTTGTCTCCATCAGTGGGTCTCTGGCTGGTTTGACCAATAAACATGCAATGAAACTTACTGTTCTCTTTTATCTTTGTTGCTGAGATGACTGTACACATCTGTACAAGAACAAACATACAAACTGACGATCAAACACAGAAAGCACACTACATTGAAGATCTACATTAGCACATACACATTTTTTTGTGCAGCTCTTTATGTGCTAGCTCTTTTACAGCTGACAGTCACTCTTGGTAGGGCAACCCATTTTGGTTTATCTACCCTCCAGTAGGCCTAGCTACAAAAATCCCCGAAAATCGTCTAAAAATCTATCCAGATAATCTCCAAAAAAGTTCTAAAAACCTCAGAAAAAATTCTAACAATCTCATTTTTTTTTTCTAAAAATCTCACAATTTTAACAAAAAATATCAAAGCTTTTCCGAGAAATCACGAGAATGCGTCTAAAAATCCCATCAATGTTTAAAATAAACTCAAAGTTAATTGAATGGTGAAACCGCTGTGCATGAAGCCATGACTGGTCTCTTGTCACTCTTATATATATATATAGCTTTACAAGCTAATTGGGTTCCTAAATGCGCATATACAAGCGAATTGGGTTCCTATTTGCGCATGTAAAAACATTATTTATCTAATTCCTCTCTCTGAATATTTTTTCACACATTTTACAGACTTTTGTGGCTCTAAAAACTCTAAAAATCCTTGAACTTGCTAAATTGTTCTAAAAATCTCCAGACTCAGCTAAAAATCTTTTCAACGTCTAAAAATCTCAAAAAAACCCCGGATTTTTGTAGCTAGACCAACCCTCCAGATAAAGGTGTAGAGTCCAGCCCCAATCTGTGGGATCAAGAAGCACAGACATTGGCTGCTTGTCCCAAAACATATCATCTTGTACATTTGGAAGGACTCGTGTTGGGGTACCTGCTGTCTTAGAGTAGCATGGATGGATGGAAATCCAGTGGTCCAATGCTGCAAGGCAACTCACGTGATATTTTTCTCCAAGAGCAATCATGTCACACGCACTTAACGATCAGATTTCACTGGTAGCCTATTCATCATAAAAGAAGCACACTAGAACTGTTCTGCTCTGTGGCAAAAATATGTCTTTTTTATTGCTGCATTGTTATTTGTTATAAAAAAGCAAGGGAACAATTACTGATAAAATGTTTTCAACTCTATGTTTGTTGAGTCTGTTAAAACATAAAAATGGAGGATTGCCATTGTCAACTGACGAAATTAAAGTATTACATGGAGGTAAAAATTTAGAAATTTATAGACAAAGGACTCAACGGACATGTCTTTCTTTGCAGGGGAGAACGAGTTTAACCTTTAGTGGCTAGAAACTGGGAGAAACAGGATATTCAAAGGGGCTATGTTCCCTATTTGTGAAATTATCAGCAAAGCAGCTTTAATTCATTTTGATAATGTTCTCTTTCTTCAGCTCAGGATAACAAAAGGATCCTACTTCACTAATGTGATAAACATTCGGGCTTTCTCTGTGAATGCAATGATAAATGATCTTCATAATGCTGTAGACAAAGGAAGGTGAGGGATGTATCCTTGTGAAACCTTCATACACCAATAAATGAAGTAGACTTGTCAAAATTATACAAATATTCTGACGGCAAATGCCTCTTATTTGATTGAAAAAAGGACCCAAATGAATAGGTTTCTTAGCCTGCAATTTTTGAATCAATGCAATGTGCTTACACGATGGACCCAATGGTAAATAGTAAATCCTTTTGAAAACCCCAAGGGGTGATTTTGGAATTGGTTATCACTTACAGTAATGTGATAAAACACGAGCCAGATGGAGGTTTCTGATTTTGCATAGTCATTTCAATCAATAGTATCACCATTCCCAGGTAACCAAGCAAAAGCATGCTACGAAAGAATTCCAATTACATTGTTCTTAAAGATAAGAATTGACAAGTAATTTTGTTTAGCGGACCACGAAGAATGGTGACTACAATTAGCAAAAACTCTCAGCTGTTTACGGCAGTCAAAACGTTAAGCACAAACGTATGCACATTCTTTCTTATTTATTCTAAAGTGATACCCTAGAGATATTTATTGCTGAAGTTTAAACAGAGGCTAATTTGGGTACTGATGCAACGCTCACATTGACAACTTTAGTCCATCCATCGTATGAAAGCAGACTTTCCTTCACTAGCAGTTGAACAGCTTGAGGTTAAACAGTTTGAGGTAGCTGGAATTTTGCTGATTTGTATATTTATTAGTAAGGATAATGGGCCACTTTGGCTCGTATGCAGGCTTAACCTTACCTCTAATGTGCGAATATTGACTCTGTTACTTCCATGTTCATTGTTACATACCAGAACGAGTAGATTGCCATTTTTTGTTTATAACCTTCTGAGCAGCTAAAGCCGGCTGCCAGTTAAAAAATAAAGCCACTATTATTATTTTCCGTCTATCACTTAAGATTATTTATTGTATACAGAATCTGCATGAATCTCTACCTCATTTTATGCTTTCTAACTGGAATGATAATTTGAAAAAGCCTTGTATAAAATCCTTTTTCAAATTATCCTTCTAGTTAGAAAACATAAAAAGAGGTACAGATTCATGCAGATTCTGTATACAATTAATAATCTTAAGTGATAGACGGAAAATAATTAAGAGTCCCTGTCCATAAAAATGGAAAATAACTCGGCAAGGGTCGAAAATTCGATTTCGCTCATATTTTTATGGCAGATAGGCTAGGGCATGACAAAAACTACTGGATAGTTTTTTTGGCAAAATATCCTTTTATTTCAAAGAAATATGCAAATTACCA